TTGATTGATTGATTGATTGGTAGGGAAGGGGTCGCCCTTCCCCACCAATCAAGCACACACACACACACACACACGAAAAATTAAAATTTCCTTTTTTTATTATGTTTTTTTTTTAATTGAAATACGTAATTTTTTGTTTTCTATTTTTTAAAAGTAAGAAAACACTTGTAAAAAAAAAACAAAAATCACTGCGTTGTAGGTCTCTTCAAACCGTACAACCCCATATATATATATATTTTGGTCCATTATTTTTTTTTTTAAATGTTTGAAATTCTCGGTCGCATTAACCTCTGGGGCCGACCTCAGTGGTCGGAATCCCGACCGTTGGCCGAGATTGACCCTGCGGTCATGACCGCGGGGGATACATAGTTGATAGCAACACTGCCTCATTGGAGACAATGACTAGATTATTAAAAGGAAAGGATAAGGTAAGAATTGAGGAGGAGACTAGGGGGGAGGAAGTCAAGAAAAAACCCCAAGAAAACTAATGAAGTATGCAATGCAGAAAGTGACACCGGAGAGACCCGAAGGTTCCAAAAAGGAACCCGAGAGACCGGAAGAGAAGAAAGAAGAACTTGCCAAAAGGAAGAACCGGCTAATGAGATAGAAAAATCGAAGAGGAAGGAGAAAGTAAAGATGAAATTGTCGTTTATGTACAAAAATAAGAAAGATAAAAATTTATTGTTGTGGATTGCGGAAATGTAGACTAATTGTGGGACCGCACCTGTTGAGCCTGAGAATCAGGTGGCCTTCTCAACATCTTGTTTGGGGGGAGTGACCAAGGAATGGGTATTGTCCGAAGCTAACGCTGCTGGCTTCGAGGACATCGGTGAGTGGGCCAAGACCTTAACCCTCAAGCAATTTCTCCAAAAGATTAAGGAGAGGTTTCTTGATAAGACGACGGTCGACAAGGCCTTTGACAAACCCACCATGATAGGTCAGAAACGTTTGACTTTCATGGATGCTCTGTCATGTGAAGTAGACCGTCTCTTGTAGGTACCTAGGTTGAACTTAGAGGACAACCAGGTTCTGTATATCTATTCACATGTTCTACGTGAACCCATTCTCAGGCAGCTCGTAGCAGAGGCCAAGTCTGGAAACTACAATTATCGACAATTTTGCGCTCTCGCTTTCCAACGAGAGCAGATGACTGCCCAAGTAAAGGGTACGTACGCTTCGGTGGTAAAGTCTGGACCGGTTGGTGGGTACGGTGAGCGGGTCCTTTGGCGGCAAAAGCGTCAGGATCACATGCTTGTCGTATTCGACGATGACACTATAGAAAAGTTACCCCTCGACGAGTCCGAGGGAGGAGTAGCTGATGGCGGCAACTAGTCTGGGAAGGGTGACGTCGCTGCCGTACTGGCCAACAAGGGAGGCCCAGGTCAATGGAAGAAGAAGAGGAGACCACGCTCGTTTCTCGAGCGCTCCGGCATCGCGTTCGGGAAACCCTGGGAAAAAATGAGAATGACCCGAGAGGACTAGCAGTCTAAAATGGACAATCGTTAGTGCCTCAAGTGCGGTACCGTGGGACACGTGATCGCTTGGTGTCCTTTGATTCTGAACCCAAAACTGAGCAGTCAGTAGGAGTAGCATCGGCTCCTACTGAATCAACGGGAATAGATAAAAGTAAAGGTAAGGCGCTAACAACCCCTTCTAACCCCTCGACTCTTAAGGTAGAGGATGACTATTCTTCAACCCATCGTCCAGAGCACCCTTACACTTTTCTTTGCTCTCTCCCACTGAACAATTCCCTTGACGAACTCGGCAATGAACTCATAGCATTTCGGAGTTCGTGTACTAAGAAAGCGAAGACTAAGGGTAAACTTATGATCGCGGACATTGAGATTGCACATACGCGGGTAGGTGCACTGTTAGACCCAGGATCGACGCGGTCTTACATCTCAGAGAAGGCAATTCGTAAATTGCATCTAGGAATGAAGGTAAAGGATTTACCTCGACCTATCACATCTATGTTGGCTGACAAGAGCACGATCATTGTCTCTCAATACGTCGATCGTGCTCTCTCTCTCTCTCTCTCTCTCTCTCTCTCTCTCTCTCTCTCTCTCTCTCATCCAACGAAATATAAATATATATATATATATATATATATATATATATATATATACTATGTGCGCACCTGACACATATGCGGCCCGCCAGCGCGCACCCCCCAGCGCACCCATGCGCAGCGCACCGGCCCTGTGCGCAGCGCACCGCACACCGAGGTGGGCGGCGCGCGCCGGTGCGCGCGCACCTCGGGTCCGCGGTGCATAGTGAAATCTATGTCCGAGTTCATTCATCATTCTTTCTTCTTCTTCTTGCTCTTGTTGTTTTCTCCACAGCTCCTCAATCTTCCTTCTCCCTTCCTTTAACGTGTTTTCTAATTGCCTGACGTTTTCCTCCATGATCTGTACAAACAATTTTGGTTTTACCTTTTGTTCTTTCTTCTCTTCTTCCCTTTGTTTCCTTCTTTGGTCCATCTTCTCCAGGTTCTCAGCGACATAACGGTGAAGGGTCATTCGCCCTTACTTTATGAGGTCCTCGACTCTCTTACCGGTTTCCATCATTTGAACGGTTCTCTCTGCTTTCTTCAGTTCATCTTTTGCAGTGCGCAGATTGAACTGTTCATGCACCAGCCGTTCAACTTCTGGACCGGCGCCGTGTATCTCAAAGAGAAATTGGCGAAGAAGACCGATCAAAGTCTGCCTTCTCGCATCATTTTACCACGGGTCTTAAGTTCCCCCGCTTCTTCGTCGGCATAGACAGTGAGAGGGATAGGAAAGAAGAAGAGAGGTATGAAATGTGTGAGGATGGAGGCACACAAACATTTCTTGAGATAAGTCATTTTCCCCAGCGTGTGAATGCCGCACAATAAATAAAATTAAAAGAGAAAAATAAATGCCACGGCACACACAATTTCTACAACAAGAAATAATCAAGGCAGATAGGAAGAGACAAATTCCCATTTTTTTCTAAATCTAACTTTGTTGTCTGTTCTATGTGTGATGACGTCCTACAGCAAGTGTACAGGTACCACAATCACGACCAGTGTGATCAAGACAACAACACACAGGTGAGTATGTACAGCAACCACAGAACAACCAACAGGTGAGTAGGTCAGCCAACACAACCACAACAATCAATTGTTAGCCTTCCTTTCTCTACGGCTGTACCATCCGCAGAACCAATGCAACCAAACACAAGGGCCGACTCGTGACACTACAGCAAATCGTGAAGTCGTACTGTCCGCCAGCACACAAGTGCACAATCAACACCTCACCCACAGCAGTGTGTCATGCATGCCACGTATCACCCCTGGAATGCCAACACAGCGACTCTATAGAGTCTGCCACGTCAGCGTTAAGGACCTGGAAGGTCTACGAGGGGGATGCCACGTCAGCAATGCACGGTCTGCAACACATACAACACTGGTATGCCACGTCAACTCAAAGTATGCAGTGCATCATCAACAGGCAATCACAGCACAGGTACGTGCCATGTCAGACCATGCCTCGCCAGTGGAGAATGCCACATTAGCATCCACACGCCATGCCACGTAGGCAGCGCACCACATCAGCAATCCCAATCTCATACTTTCTCTCTCTAGACCAACGCCACGTCAGCCTGCTGCCAACGAAGCTCTCGCCGGTATCCCAATGTCTTCAGTGTGTCCACGCCATCACCTTCAGGGAGGCTGCATGCACGTGCGGCACTCAATGTCTAGACTTGCGGTATTAACCGCACGCGTTAATAAACGCATTTCATTCCTGCACGAGCGGCACCTCCCACTTACCTGGGTGCCACGTCAACACTTGACAACAGATCGCGATGAAGGAGGTATGCTCTGATACCAAATTGCAACGAACCCAAACTGGAAGATACTCATCAGACGTCGAAGTACAAGCAGTCTCAGATCTGCACAAAGTCTCCAGTTAACGTGAAGTGATATCTGATACAATATCTCGTTACCAATAGACGAAGAGAGTGGAGGGGGAATAGACAGCGGAGAGGGTGGAAGAGATAATCAGTGACCGCACAAAAGTAGCCCAATCATTTCCCACTTCTTCTCCGGGCTTCTCCTCGCCTCCACGTCATCAAACAATATACAGTAACAAGTCTGATAAGTCCTGATCACATAGGAGTGCCACGTGGCACTATCATCTCGTGGAGACAATGAAGACAACAGCAGTCCACGGTATCGACGTCAACCTCAGGTGAGTACCAAATCCCAATCATCCACAGATCTCAATCTCCCTCCTTGTCGCAACCAGTCACCTCATGTAGACAGCGTAGACAACCCCTGGTTGAGCTTCACCGGCAGGTAGTTCCTAGGTACTTCCCAGGCACTTCACGTGCAGTTCAGGAGGCAGGAGGTAGTCTTCAGGATTCGGCTGCAGCACTCTGGAGGAGCGCTGCAGGAGTAGTAGCAGCGTTAGCAGTAGTCTTCAGCGCTGGGCGCTAGTAGCGTTAGCTGTAGTCTTCAGCGCTGGGCGCTAGTAGCGTTAGCTGTAGTCTTCAGCGCTGGGCGCCATAGCAGCTAGAGCAGTACTAGAGAGAGAGAGATTGGGCGGAGGCCAGAGTGACTTACCTGCAGCGCCGTTGCTCCAGCTTTGTCTTCGAGGTACCTGCAGCACAGCGCCATCTTCACAGGTTAGTACCTGGCATATGAGAGAGAGAGAGAGTTCTTCTTCTTCCTCTTCTCAATCCACCATCTCCTTCTCACCCTCTCGCTATCTGACTTCACTGCATCAGCAGACTGAGAGAGAGAGAGAGAGAGAGAGAGAGAGAG